TTTTTTTTTGAAACTTTGGAGTTTGTCTCATATACAAAGATTATAATGGAGTTATGGTGTGGACTGTGGAGATGATGTTGATGAAATATATCTTAAATCTTAACACAAACAAAAGAGAAAACTTAACAGTGAAAAAAAACTAGGACGAAAGCTTCAAACATCCAAAGATACCCAAATTTAGAAAGCAAAACCAACCACCGTGTAACCGAAATGGGAGATAAACCTTCAATATACACCAAACCAAACCAGCAAAAACCGTCAAATGAAGAAAATCAATTTTAGAAGGCTAAAAAATCTGACAACAAAAAACTCTAAATAACACACATACCAAAATTGAATATACTAGATTAATTTAGTCTGATTATTTTTGGACACAAAGATAAATACAATTACTTATAAACAAAACATCCGAACTGAAATTAAACCAAAATTCGAATTACGCTACATATATAAGCAATATTTTTTTGGTGGTGGTGGGGGGGGGGGTCAGCATAAGCAATATCAACTATGAAATGACATTGTTATAAATATTATTGGATATCTTTCAAAATATATATAGAATCTCAAACACATAGTAGCTAGTTTAATAAAAGAATAGCCTCACCAGTTTCACCATGTCGACACCACAGTGTGAGTTATTATATTTTTAAGGAATAATAACTCTAATAATATCTCATTTCTTTTATTATTAGAAAAATGTTTATCTTAGGACAAATAGTATAAGGATGTACTTTTCGTTTTATTGGTGGAGTTGGGTGGGCTTCCAATTATACAGTCTAAAAATCGGAGGTTGGTGAAACTTCACCAATAACAAAAGTCCTCCTCATCTATCAACCACATTGAAAATTCTCCGAAACGTGATTATACACTCTCACTTCTTTTGTTGGGATATCCAAATCCCACATCGAAAGTTTAGACAAAAATAGTTTAATATATAAGTAATGTCCAACTCTACTTCGTATGAGGTCTTTTGGAAATGAGCCCAAGAACAAATCCGTGCAGACTTTGCCTCTGGGCCCAAAACGGACAATATCATACTAATGGGAAGAGTTGTACATTGGCTTGGAAAGCCCAACAAATGGTATCAGAGCCAAGGTTCAAAAAAGTAAACTTGGAGAAGTAGGTTTGGGCTGCAAATTCGTTGTGGGAGAAGAACCCTCAAGGTGACCTCGCGATTATGGGGTGCCGATGCTTTGTGTCGAAAGTCTTCCTAACTAAGCGGAAGGTTAGGCGGCGGGTTATGTTGGTGATTACGGCGATACAAGATGAGTGCCAGGGTTCGCTGGAGGTTGGAGACCACGAGATTATGTGGTTCTTAGTTTGAGGGAAAGATTGTTGGGATATCAATTCAAGTCCCACATCGGAAGTTTAGACAAAAATTATCTAATATATAAGAGATGTCCAACTCTAATTAGTATAAGGCCTTTTGGGAAGGATCCCAAAAACAAATCCGTGCGGGCTTTGCCTCTGGGCCCAAAGCGGACAATATCATACTAATGGGGGAGTTGGACATGGGCTTTAAAAGCCCCAATACTTCTAATATTAATTTATTTCTGTTCAGTATTCTTTTTGGATGATAGAATGCATGCGAATAAATT